CTTCCCCTCTGCTCTCAACCCTACTTTCAACATAGCAGTCAGAATAATCTAAAATATAAAGCAGATCATATCACTCCTCTGCTCAACAGCCCCTCCCAATACCTTCATCTCTTCCTCAGAATAATTGTCCAAGCCTCTAACTGTGGCCTACAAGTCTTTACATGATCTGTCCTGTTACCTTTTCCATCCTCACTCCAGACCTGGCCTAAGAGGCTTTTCTTTGAACCTGCTAAACATGCTCTTACCTGAGGGTCCATTCCCACTGCTTCTGCCTGGAATGCTCTTCCCTAGACAAGCATCTGCATGGATCATTTCCGTGCCTCCTCGGGTCTTTGCCCCCATGAAGCCTTCCCTGACAACCCTATTTAAGATTGTAATCTCCTCCCACGGTGGCCCCTATCTGCTAGGGACCGAAAGTTTTTGTCCCCCAAAAATTCACATGTTGAAGCCTTAATCTCAACATAGGAGGTTGGGCCTTTGGGAGTTAGTTTTAGATGAGGTCATGTGGGTAAGAGAATCGATGCATTTGTAAGGGCATAAAGAGTCCTCTCTGTGAGGAAACCAGAATGTAAGCCTTCACCAGAACTTAATAATGCTGGCACCCTGGTCTTAGATTTCCCAGCCACTAGATCTGTGAGAAAAAAAATGTTTGTTGTTTAAGCCACCCAATCTATGGTACTGTTGTTACAGCAACCTGAACTAAGACACTATCCCTCTCCCCTGCTTTATTTTTCTGTTATCACCATAATTAATGTTTTACTTATATATGATTTGTTAATGTATGTCTCTTCCCACTAGAAACCAAATTCTGTGACAGCAAGGGTTTTTGTTTTCATTATTGTCATATTACCTTTGCCTGGCATGTGATAAGCCCTAAGTACTTGTTGACTGAATTAACATTATGAGATGTGTGAGTTTGAAAAAAGAAGTACATCATTACTCCACTCTCATTTTGTGCCGCCGTTAACAGTAGATTACATAATTGTTATTGGAGGTGCCTCACTACTACATCTGTAAAGTATTCCTGGAAGACACGGCGAATGACTCAGTAGAAGTTCTGGCTATGGGGGGGTGCCGTCAATAAAAATAATACCATCGCCTGTTGGTTATAAGTTGCTGTCACAGACTATGAAGGTATTTGAATTGTATTTCCAGGAAGAGAAACAGATATGCAACCAATCTGATTCGGTTCTACCTGCTGCCACAGAACTCCCAAAGGATAAGCAAATGCCACTTGTAGACTCAAACTCTGAACTTCATTCTCAGCACCAGCTTTTAACCTGAGTAAATCCTATGAGCCTGAGTAGTGTTGCAACTGAAGTTGTAGTACTTTCTGTCATCAAAGGAGTGTGAACCTGGAGTATGTTGGAAGAAGAGTTAGGTTCGTTAGCGAGACCTCTTTCATAACTGCTGTCACCTAGAATGTCTGTTCTCTTAAGCATCTTCTTGAAAGAAGCACATTCCCCCAGGAGAAGGAAATGGTTTGTTTTCTTTAGTGACAGATAGTTGGCCCAGGACCCTGAGATAAAGGAGTATGGGCATTAGACAAAATGAGTTTTACAATAGTTGATTGGAAGAAATGGAAGTTTTTGAATCATAGGCTTCTGCCTTGAAAGGTCAAGGCCGTAGTGGTTGTGAACCAGCCAGATTGTGTACAAGCCTCCTGCCAGAAGAAATGCCTGTAGGATTAAAAGCAAAACAGCAAAATCAAAAAGGAAGGGCAAGATGATGCCCAGCTGCAGCCTATATTATTAACAGACAAGGAAAGGATCCAAGTAAAAATTCTGTAAACCAGCTGTTGTCCTGTTTTCTGCTTCCCTTCAAAGCAAAAATATAGATTTGTGTATATTTGCAGTCTCCCCTTCCTTGCCTCTCATTCTTCCCTGAAACTCTATTCCAGTTAGGTCTGCATCCTCGTCATGCTGAAATGACTCTTTTGAAGGTCACCAAGGACCACTGTCTTCTCAAATTCAATAGCCATTCCTGCCTTTACTCATTTACATTCCTTACTCATCTTCTCAGCAGTGTTGGATATAATTGACAACTTCTGCCTTCCTGAAACAAAATTCTCTGAGTTACAACGTATGGCATTATACTCTTCAGATTTTCCTCTTTCTCACTGGCCAGTCCCTCTCAATTTCCCTGGCTGGCTTCTCTTCTAAATGTTATAGGATCTCAAGCTCAAGAATGTTCTCTCTCTTCATTCTCTCCAGGTAATCTCATTCAGTCCCAAGGCTTAAATATATACGTACTGATAACTTGCACATTTTTTTTTTTTTTAGATAGAGTTTCACACTTGTTGCCCAGGCCGGAGTGCAGTGGTGCGATCTCTGCTCACTGCAACCTCCGCCTCCCAGGTACAAGCGATTCTCGTCTCAGCCTCCAGAGTAGCCCGGATTACAGGCATGCGCCACCATGCCCGGCTATTTTTTTGTATTTATTAGAGACCACGTTAGGCTAGTCACAAACTCCTGACCTCAGGTGATCCACCCGCCCCGGCCTCCCAAAGTGCTGGGATTATAGGCATGCGCCACCATGCCCAGCCAACTTGCACACATTTATCTTATTTTCCATCATTGCCCCTGAGCTTCAGACTGAAATACCAACTCCATTTTTAACACAGCCATCTACCTAGTTCAGGTCACAAACTGAAAGTCACCTTGCTAGCTCTCTTTCCCTCGGTCCCTACATGGAGTCTGTCAGCAAGTCCTGCTGGATCTGTCTCCAAAGTGGATACTGAACGTTACCATAGCTCCCTATCTATTGCTACCATCTTAGTCCAATCCACCATTATCTATTAGTCTTCCCACTGTCCTTTCTTCCCATAGTAGCCAGTGTTCTTTCTGAAACAAAGTAGGTCACCCCACTACTGTTTAAAACTCTCCAGTGGCTCCTTGTTGCACTAACAATAAAATCCAAATACCTTAAAAAGGCTGGCAAGATCCTGTGAGATGTGGTCCCTGCTATCTCTCCAGTTCCACCCCCTGCCACTCTTCTCCTTGCTAACTCAATACAAGAGACATTAGTACAGATACCTCTTTTACCCCCGCGGCTTGCCAAGCTTTTTACCACTGGGCTTTTGCAACACTTATTCTTTCTTGTGGGAATATTCTTCGCACCCACCTTGAAAGGTTGCTCCTGCTCTTTTTATTCGGTTCTCAGCATGTCACTCCTCAGAAAAGGCCATCTCTGACTTCTCTCCATTGTTATCCGATTACCATGTCTTATATTCTTCTTAGCACCGATTGCTGTCAAAATATATTAGGTGTGTTTGTCCACACATCATCTTTCACCACTGAAATATAAATTCATTAGAGCAGGAATTCTATTTTCTTCTACATTGTACCCCCAGTACCTAGAGAAATATCTGGCATACAATAAAGTTCAATAACTATTTGTTAATGTATATTGATGCTGATATGATTTTACAAGGTCGATTTTAACTGATACCTAACTTCAACAAAAAGAACCCTCTGCCACTTGACTGTCCCGGTACTTTTGGATGAGTTTCTTATCCACGGAGCTGTAATTTACTCGTATGTAAAATGGTACTTTTTACCTTATAGGGCAGGTATTCAGAATTAAATGAAGTGTATAACAACACAGTAAACACTTGAAAACTGAAGCTAAGGGTTTTTTTCGTACTTAATGTAGACATTACCATTACAAAGCGTCTGGTTTTTTGAATCTGGGAAAGTTCTTTTGGGCTTTTCTACAGATAGAAGAATATTTTGGTCAAGACTCATGGGTAGGGCCAGGCGAGGTGGCTCACACCTGTAATCCCAGCACTTTGGGAGGCCACGGTGGACAGATCACCTGAGGTCAGGAGTTCGAGACCAGCCTGGCCAACATATAGTGAAACCCCATCTCTTCTAAAAGTACAAAAATTAGCTGGCATGGTGGTGCATGCCTATAGCCCCAGCTACTTGGGAAGCTGAGGAGAATTGCTTGAACCCGGGAGGTGGAGGTTGCAGTGAGCCAAGATCATGCCACTGCACTCCAGCCTGGATGACAGAGCGAGAGTCTGTTTCTCAAAAAAACAAAAACAAACAAACAAAAACAAAAACAAAACTCATGGGTAACATTTTCATCTAAATTACCTGCCTTTTTATTTTTCAATAAAGTTTTTTCTTCTCCCTTGTCATTGTTCACGAAGAAACAGTGTTCTATGATTTCATTAGAGTCACTATAACGTAAACTTCAAGATAGGAGGATGAAGTTGTGATGCTGATGCTCACTTCAAGCTCACTTGAAGCCAAGATTTTTCTGCACACAAAGTTCAGATCTGTGCCACAGAAAAAGGACTGCTCACGACACTTTGTCACAGCCGTTCCCAAGGGGTCACAAATAGAGCCAGCCTCTTATACTGCCTCAAAAGGACTGTTTGACAGGGATTCAAGTAGCAAAATAAGCAGACATCTTTTTCTGAAACTGATTCCTAATGAGCTATGAAAAATACATTTACATTGTCTCAGCACTACTCCTATGTTGTCTGCACAGCACTTATTACAGGAGAAAAGAATCACTGATATTAGTATCATTTCTGTTTCCACATCTACTCCTTCCTGCTCACCCTTGCCACCACCCCCAGCACCTTGCCAGTATACCTGCTACATCGTGTCCTTATATTTTTGGTTGAATTAAAAAAAGGGCACTGAAGGCTGCCTTTGTAGCTTCCCCTATACCAAGTGAACATTTATTAAACAAGCTCAGCTACAGAGCATTTTCAGAAATCTCAGTGCAGCTTCACAATCATTAAGCAGAGTATTTATCTAAAAACCTCTAACACTTAATACCAGTTACTCAGTATCTTAACCAACATGAAAATACAAAACAACCTTTTATTTACGAGTAGTCCCCTCAGTTCTCTTTTATGATTAAGGGAACATTTGAATCTTTTCTCAAGTTTTTCCTTTTGATCCAAATCACTTCCCCTCTACTTTTCTAATGGCTTTATAACCCTTCAACAGTAGGTGGTGCCACAAATGCACAAAAGTAAATTTCTGTAGACCAACAGAACTGTCACAGCTTTATTTTGTGACTCATTATATTACAACATAGAAATATGCACTTTTTAATACTTCATATAAAGTTATTGACATACAAATTTTTTTTTCTTTTTTCCTTTTAATGAAAATGATTTAACTTAGAAATCTGTTGTGAAACTTTTGTCTAGTTTTGCAATTCTCAGGTATTCCAGTGCAAAAATAGATCCCATTACAGACAGCTTAAAGTGCTTGGAATGAGGGCCAATGATGAACAAAGAGCACAAAAACAGCTTCATCTTGGGGTATAAGAAGGGATAATAGCCTACCTAAATCCTTATCGACATAGAAACATTCTATAAAAGGGGATGCAACAATTTTGAAAAGAATTAGAGTAATATTTCTACAGTATTACATTATTACTAGTAGATAATAACAAGGGTACAAATTAATGTCTCAATATCAAAGTGGTTCAGTATTACATGACACATGGCTCTTTGGAAAACATTTTACCTGATATATACAACCACAAGAAGAAAACACAGACAAATCCCTTTAGTCAATGATTACTATACAGTGAATGAATGATGTGCAACATTTAATAGTCACAAAGCATTTGCTTTCAGTACAGATAATGAAATACAGTAGTGTGAGGTTTGGTTGTTTTTTAACAATGAATTGTGCTGGGCATTTATGTATAGAGGGCTTATTATTTTCTTCTATATTTACCATATTCACAGTTGTTAATTAGTTTTCTGAGGTGTCCAAAAGATGCACAAGCAGAAATTTTTGGACATGTATTTTGAGAATTTCTGAAACTCACATAGTTATATCCCACAGGGAATACACAGAAATTTTGCTTGATTGAGTATGGAGTTAGTAAAAATTTCTACCACAATTAGGTTTACACAGGAAAATGTAAAAGATTACTATTTTAAAAGGTAACACAGTATTAATGAAGATGTATAACCGTAGATTGTTTCTAGCTTCAGAAGAGATCCTTTCAATCTGTATTAAAATGTTGTGTTTTCTTCGAAATAGTTCACAGTGCCTTTTGATTTTTTAAAATATGGCCTTGAAGTCAGAGAAACTGAAGTAAGGAGTTGCTCATGGATTTACTATAATGAAGAATTAGAATATGATTTTAGTAAAATGAGAAAACCAACAGAAGTTTGATTTTGAAAAATATTAAATGAGGAGAAATTATTCTACAAATTCTATATTTTTGAAGATAGTATAAAATGCAATGATGCCATATCACTAGTTATTGGAAATATGCCTTCATTACTTATATTTAAAATCAACATTGACTTTAACTTCTAAAACAATCATTTTTTTTCTTTTTCAGCAGTGGGTTATATAATATTCTGTAAATTTAAAAAATATATAGAGATTAATTTGAAATCTGAAGTCTTACGCCTTTAGAGTTAATATTCAAATTTTGGAAAAGGTAGAAGTTAGTAATGATATTGAAAGATCACTTGAACTTGGCCAAACAATAGTTCTCTCCTATGTTTCTTTTCTCTCAAGACAGTTAACAGTAAGCATTAGTGAAACTATTTTTAAAAATGTTTACTGACTAGAAAAATAAGCCCAGGTTAGAAAACTCTGAAAAATGCTCCATATGGAAGCATTTGTTGTTTTTATATTTTTCTTGATTAGTGATTGAAGAGATGAAAAATTTGAGATTGTCAGATTTAATGGGGTGTCCAATTATTTGAAGGTACTAAATGCCATAAACAAAAGTTGTGTTTTTTAGCAAGTTCTCAAGCTAGCTGTTTTCCCTGTTGAAAAATTCATTGTTTATACTTGTGACCTTTATACTTTCTTGGCTTTTGCATTGTTGCAATTAAAAAAAAAAAAAAAAAGGCTGCCCAATATTGTTACAGTGGGCTCCTACAACCACAAGACAACCTATATTTGTAAACCAGTGAGCTGAATAACATGGCACAATCTACTGAGACTTAATTTCTCTCTATCCTTATACATACGTACATACTCCTTCAGCTACAGCATACACCCAAAAAATACTTGATTGATGAATTGAGATTAAAAGTATCCTAAATGATCTGAAAGAAAGTCAAATATAATGTCATGAGATCTTGACCGTCACATTGCTTTCTAGGCACTAGTCATGACTGATATGCAAACTTATATAAGAAAATAAAAATAGTGGGGCAGTAGCCATACTCCTCTATACCACAGGGTTCTACAGAGGGGGCATTTTAGGATTCAGAAGTCACTGATAGAACTTAAAATTCCAAATAACATTAAAAAGTACAAAGATTTTCATCAAAATACAACTCCATCTTTTCATTTTCTAGATTAATTCAAAAAGCCAGAAATAATAATATACTTGTGTCAGATAAGAAACATCTTGAGATGCAGTGTACCATGTGAGTCGACAATCAGGACAAATGGGCACAGGCTTCCTTAGGTTTGAACGCACAATCTCTTTAATCCCATGCCCTGGCTTCAGCAGCTTGCAGCCCCAACAGTTTGGCTGTTGATTCTTTGCCTCTTACCTGGATCTAAGTATATTTAAGAGTCTCATAAGGATGACCCTGTAGACCCATGGCTTGAAGCACAGGACAATATAACAATGGCACCAAGTTTCCTGTGCCTAGAGACACCCACATTTTTGTTGCATGTTATGGCTACCAGAACAGCTCATCAAAGAGGGAATCAAAGCAGGATGTTAGCCACACATGGCACCATTTTGTCAACTGATATTTAATGATGTTGATAGACTCTGAGCAGAGCAGCTTTCACAAAAGTGAGCATGACACACCATGGTGCTTCAAACTTTCTGAAAAACTTGGCACTAATAATTCTGGCACACTCATTGCCAGCAATGGATGTGTCACCGGGAAACCAGTCTCCTGGCATGGCATGGCTTAGTGAATGAGGATGTGCATGCCTTTTGATTTTGATCAATAATCACTGGCCATGATTACTGGATGAATAATTGTTGCAACCCCAGTGAGAATACACAGGAACAACAAAAAAAAGTATGAGTTCAAACCCATATGTCCACTGGGTTCCATAATAGAGTTTCACATAGGTATAGGTAAAAAACTAAATTCAAGTCTTTCACTTGAGAGCCATGTAAGACATAGGCTACAAAGGCACTGCCCCTGTAATGGAATTTTGTTTTCATTGCATTGAATTGCATTGCATTGAATAGTATCAGTACAGTATCCAGTTTATTACTTCCCACATCAACTTCTGGCTCTTTTCTCCGGAACACTTCATATGGTGCAAAGGAAAGTCTAGTTCCTCTTTCAGCCACCCCGTATGAACAGGATTCTTCATACATAGCTTTCTTTCACTTTTTCATCCTGTAGAAAAGATGTGAGAACCGCAACATCCACTACTGTCTGGTTTTTGTGTAATGAGAGGTCCTTTAAGTGGTCATCATCACTTTGGTCCTTGGCAAAGTTCACAAATACCTGTTAAAAGATCAAGATGGACCTTTGTAAATACCACTCAACTTGTTCATTGTTTATTCTAGTTCTGTTTTTCCAGGTGTTGAAATTAGGTCAAGTAGGAACATACAGAATTGCATAGATTAACGAGAAAACTGTGTGTGAAGGAGGCAAGAATACTTGAAAAAAGCAGTAACAACTTAAAAATTGACTTTCTTTTTTTTTCTTTTTCTTTTCTTGAAATGGAGTCTCACTCTGTCCTCCGCCTCCTGGATTCAAGCGATTCTCCTGCCTCAGCCTCCCAAGTAGCTGAGATTACAGGTGCACACCACCATGCCCAGCTAACTTTTGTATTTTTAGTAGAGACGGGGTTTCACCATGTTGGCCAGGATGATCTCGATCTCCTGACCTCGTGATCTGCCCACCTCGGCCTCCCTGAGTGCTGGGATTACAGGCATAAGCCACCATGCCCAGCCAAAAATTGACTTTATATATCGCCCCCCACATCACCAACTGCTCAGTCATCCATTTACTTTGGCACATACAGTCTTGATTAAAGGGAAGAGGGAAGAAAATACTTACTGAGTACCTATTAAGTGTCAGGACCAATTTGGTACTTTATTATCTAATTTATATAAGATTAGGCACAAAGTAAAATGCCTGGCCCATGGTAGGTACTCACTAAATGGTAGTTATTATGGTTATTACAATAAATTCTCAGAATAATCCCATACAGTACATAGGCATCATCTCCCTTTTCAGGTTCAGAGGTTTAGTAAAAAGCATAGCTAGTAGTAATAGTAGATCAGGAATTCAAGCACCTATCCAAGCATACAAACTGCTCTTGGACCTATGGGCAGGAGTGTGTGGGCAGGAATCCACACCCTGAGAAGTAAATCTGTTTTGACACTCAAAGCTTACTTGGTCAAGTGTTGTCTGAGAAACAGAGTAGTCTTCTATGTGGAGTCGCTTTTTGCTCTGGGAGAGGATGCTGAATATCCTGGCCAGAGAAGATAACGAAGATGGAAGCTGGTATTGTAGCATGTTCCGGTGTTTCTCTTTTAGAACACTTCCAGGAAAGGCAAGTCCAAAGAAATCCTGGACAGGCTTCAGGTCCGGGTTGGACCCTGCTATTCGTACTACTATTGTATAACCATCTCCAAACCTGAAAGCAGGAAAAAAAATATCCAAATGGAGGATCTCCAGGGAACTATTTAAAAGAATATTTAAACCTGGGAATCCAACTTGTGCCATGAAAAGGGTGGCCCCTGGCAGGCCCAGAAATAAGTTTCTGAGAGAAGGAACGAGTTATCATTTAGTAAATACTTATTTTATGTGAAGCGCCACGCCATGTGCTGTAAATACATGATCTCCTTTAATCCTCACCTGGACCCATGAAGTCTGACAGATGTTACAAAGAAACTGAGGCCCAGGGAGTTAGTCACTTGCCCATGGCTCAGAGCTCATAATTGGTAGGGCCAGGATGCAAACCCATTTGTGTTGGACTCCAAAGTTTGCACTCTCACCAGTACTGGCACATGTAAATTTTTTTCATTTCATCTATAGAACAAAGCCTGGAGGTAGATCTTCCAGGGAGATCGACTCTTAGAGAAGTTAAGTAACTTGCCCAGGAGTCACAGACCAGTAAATGGTAAAGACAGAATTCGAATGCACTTCTGACTTCAAAGCCCTCATTCTTTCCGCTATACCATTTTGCTTAGTTTTATTTTTCTTTATTTTAGAGCCATCGTTTATATACTCACAAAAGAATAAATATCAAGCCTTCTCACTAGGCACTATCCCCAAGAAATTATCTTTGTTACCTATTTTTTAGATGCTGGACACTGCCAAGGCACCTGAACCTTCCATTGACCATAATTGCCATCCTAGTGCAAAGAGCTTCACATTCTTCCATACTGCGGTAAAAAAGAAAGAGGTTTTCATTTTAGAGAGATTCTCTATAACCATCACAACATCACCATGACTTCCAGCATTCCAGCTTCCTAGGGAATCATATCCTGTTACAAGTACATGTGGATATAGGGATGATGCTGTTCACTGTAGTGCTGTTTACAATTGTGAACAAGTTGGAAATAATCCAAATGTCTACAAAAAGGGGAATAGTTAAATGAGAGTATAGCCTAATGGAATACTATCCAGCTATAAGAAATGACACCTAAATGCACTGACCTGGAATAATGTTTACAATATGTTAAGTGAAAAAGAGCGATATTTATACTGGGCATGCATTTTTCTAAGAATACATACACACACACACACACACACACACACACACACACACAGATTTGCATAGGAAAATTCTGCAAACATAAACAGCCCAGTGAAGACAGTAGTTGTTTCCAAGTTGTATAATTTCAGGTAATAATTGTTTTACTCTTTGCTTTTCTGTATTTTTTAATTTTTACAAAATGATCGCATATTCTACTTGGAAAGTTAAAACAGCCCACAGTGTAGAAGCCAAGACTTTACTACGGACCTATGAGATGTAAGCACTACTGATCTCCCCTCCTTGACAACACTTAGGGCACAATTCCACAAGAACCGCCGGGCTTTGGGATCCATGCCTGTGGTGGGTTCATCCTGTAATTAGAATAAAATAAGTCTTATTTGCTGGGGGAAAAAAAATCAAAGATAAATTTGCTTTTAAATGAAGAAGCATCTTTGAAACAGCTTAAATTTTAACTTACCATTCTGGTTATTCTTGATGGACCAAAGAATTAAAGTTCCAAATTCATTTGTAAACAAGGTCATCATTATAAATGTCTTATTGATGCAGGAAACTCAGATATTCTGAGTACTTTTTTATAGAATTAAACAAATTTCTCCAAATAAATAAGGAAGGAAAAAGCCCATTTAATTGTAATTATCTTTTCATGACTGATAAGTATATACTAAAATAACTTTTTGTCTGAAATCTCTATTGAAGTCAGTATAAGATTGGGGTGAAATTCCTTTTTTTTTTCTTTTTTATTCCAGCTTACTCAGATTACCCTAGTATATTGCAATTGTTAGCCTCACAGAAACAAATTCCAGACCCATGTGGTCTGGAATACATAAAAGCCTCAAAGGCTTCTTCTGGTAATAACATCAATGCTCTGGTCTACAAAAGAAAAAGGGTCAAGGCCCACTGCCCAGTCTGATCTGTTTTTCATCTATCCATGTGTAAGGAACTATGACCTAGTTGCTACCCTGGGGATTTTAAAGCTGTGTCTACACTCTCCATTTTCAGGGAATGAACACAAAGATGATTAGAAAGAATGTTCCAGAGAAAGATCAAATCACATATCCAGCCTCAATCACACTCAGAAACAAAGTGCTTGGAGTGTCTCTATTTGGGAACATCTGCAGGCATGGTACAGTGCTCCCAGTGTATGCCAAGGGAGAAGCTTCCCTCAGCTTCTCCAAGGTGACTCTGCTGTCCCTGGTGGGAGACAAGCCAATCACACAACAGCCCTGGACGTATAGGACTTTTGAAAAGTCATGTTTTCCACTCAGGCCGGAACAACAGTTTTCAATCCACAGTGACACTCACCAGAAACACCACAGGAGGCCCGCCGATCAAAGCCATGGCTGTAGAGAGCTTGCGCTTGTTGCCTCCACTGTAGTTACCAGCATATTTTTCTCCATACTTCACGAGGCCCAGTTTCCGAATCGCCCACTCACCAACCTACAGTGATGAAAAGCACCTTGACTTTGGTCTGGCTTGGGAATTTTATCATGCTGTCCTACACATATATATATGAAAGTTCTTTCACTGAGTAGGACTAGATTCTATCATCGTAACCCAACAACTGGTGAGGAGCCAAAACAGGGAGAAGCACTCCCTCTCTGCCCACCCAGCCCTGCCCCACCACCATTACAGGTTCCCACCCTGAAAGCAGATACAAAGAACCAGCATTTCGTGCTCCTGCATTCATGAGGAAAAACAGCCTGAAGTCAATGTGTGTGGAAAAGCCATTAGGTACATATTGTCAGGATGCCAAAGGAGACAGGCTGGCTTTCAGGTGCCCACAGTACCTTGCCAACTTCTTTCTCTGGGACTCCTCTCAAAAGGGCAAAGAACTCCACGTGTTCTCTCCCAGTCAACAGCTCTGTGATGGCATCAAACTGAGGGCAGTAGCCCATGTTCTGATGTACTTCATGTATGTTTGATAAGATACTGCAAAGGATAAGAAAACTACTTAGATTTTAAGCAGGTAGAGATACTCGGGTCAGACAATCTGGCCTAATGTTCCTAGAAAGTATGCTTCTCCATTACAAAGATACCAGTACATCTGCTGCTACCTGAAAGGACAGCCTCTCTGCCCCCAGGATGCTAGTTCTTCCTGGCAGGCAGGGTTCCTGCCTCTGCCCTGCCCAGTCCTTGCACCTCCCTGGCTCTCTCAACACTTCAGTCTGCAGGTGCAGTCCCATTTCAGAATTTCTGAGGTCATGCCAACCACTGCACACTCTTTACCAACAATCTCAGTCACACTACCGCCCTGGGGCTTTAACACTAAGGCCCCATCCTAGACTTCACTCATATGCACCATTCATACACATCAAGTGAGAAGGCCCAGGAATTTTGGGTGTGAGCAACACAGAACCTAAAGACAATTTATGTTGGTGGGGTGGCTTTTGGGTTCTATGAATCCAGTCAAGTGAAGAATCAGATGTGAGAGAAGTTCCGTGTCCACATTCCAGACTGATGACTGCACCTCAGCCACAGCGGCATCGCCATGAACCTGGCCTTTCGGCAGCATGCATTCCTCTCTGTGTATCTAATTAGCACTCCCAGGGTCAGCCTTTTTCAGAATTAGGATTGAGGCACACATGGACACCGTGCCGGGCCCTCACAGCTATACCAACCAAATCAGTTCTTACAACCAGTCCCTGTGCCAAACCCTACTATGAGCTGGTTATGACTGCCACTGCTATATGCGTCAGGAGCTTGGTACTAGGGTCGAGCCTAGGAAAGCAGTTGTACAGCGGTAGGCCTGCTATTCCCAGAATGTCTGTTCTCTTAGGACTCCTTTACATTGCTACTGCAAAAATGTAAGAGACAGGAGAGGAGATCAGGAATACACTAATTTCCTTGCTCTTTTCAATTGGCTATCCCCCATCCAGTGTGTTCAAATTGTGAGTCATTGCTCATTAGTGGGTTGGGAAATAAATTTAGTGGGTCATGACCAGCACTTTTTTAATGACGCAGTATAAAGTAGAATAAGAAATAGCAGAGTGCACTACAATTAGTAACAGTAGGTACTGCTTTATGAAATTCTAGGTTATACACGTGAGTGTCTACATGTCTGTGTGTACTTACGAGGTTGAGATACAAAATGTATTTCCCACAAGGGTCATGGCCAGAAAACTTTGAAAGCCACTGCCTTATACTATCTCGCCACATAGTAAGTCCAGAGAAGCCAGACACAGTGGCTCACGCCTGTAACCCCAGAACTTTGGGAGGCTGAGGCAGGTGGATCACCTGAGGTCAGGAGCTCGAGACCAGTCTGGCCAACATGGTGAAACCCCATCTCTACTGAAAATACAAAAACATTAGCTGGGCATTGTGGCAGGCACCTGTAATCTCAGCTACTCGGGAGGCTGAGGCAGAAGAATCGCTTGAACTTGGGAGGTGGAGGTTGCAGTGAGCCGAGGTCGCCCCATTGCACTCCAGCCTGGGCAGTAAGAGCAAAACTCCATCTCACAAAAAAAAAAAAAAAAAAAAAAAAAAAGCCCAGAGATACCCCACGTAAAGTACTTAGAGTAACATTATCTAAGAGGCCTGTAAAATGTAGTTGTATTCCCAAAGATCAGATTGCTTTGTGACCTGTGCAGTCTCAGAAAATGGCCTAATGGTGTCTCTGTCAATTTGTATGCTCTTTAGAGAGGGCAATTTACTTTGTAGGAATTGTTCCTGAGGAAATAATAAAAGATGTATACAGGGACATATTTACATAGTGAAAAATGGAAACTAGTATGTGTCCAACATTTATAAGGAATTTATTAAATAAATTATAGGTACATGTACATAGGGAAATTTTATGTAGCAATGTAAAATTCTGTATCTTAGGAAATGTAACCCATTGGGAAATATTCATAATACACTCATTAACAATAAAAGCTAATTTTAAACTCTATACAGTATGATCTCAATTTTGTGGCACATTTATATGTGTATATAAGATAGATTTGGGGTGATGGAAAAGTTCTAAAACTGGATTGTGGTGATGGTTGCGAAACTCTCAATTTACCAAAAATCACTGAATTGTACTCTTAAAAAAACAAGTAAATTATATGGTATGTAAGTTATACCTGAATAAAACTGTTAAAAGGAGAGAATGAGACTGAAAGGAAAATGTAAATTGTGATTATCTCTAGATATTGAAATTGTGGATGATTTTATGTGCTTCTTTACCCTTTACTACATTTCAACATTTTTATGAACTCTAAAAGTACCACTGTAATCAAAAATAACAATCTATTTCTTTAAATAAACTAAAAACAAAGTCTTTGCAGCAAAATACAGGCCACTTCTTTTCTCACCTATTTTTGTTAAGGAAAGCATCTCCTCTGGTAACAGTGGTATCTCCTGTTAACATCTTGAAAGTTGATGATTTTCCAGCCCCATTAACTCCCAGGAGCCCAAAGCACTGAAAAAGAAAGATTAAGTTGTATAAGCAAACTCTAAAAACATGAATATAAATGTCCCCTAACAGGTAACCACCTCAAATCTTCATTCTGAAATATCAGCAAATAATCAAATATTTTCTTGGTTTTAAGACATCGTATAGATATTTAAATATGTATTTCATAACGGGACTATTTTAAGTATGGCTGTATTTACAAATATTATTTGAGTTGTCAGGTTGAGGCCAAAGTTAATGTGTGAAAAACGGTAATGAAAGCCAGCTATCCAAATTGCACCACCTACTCTGGCAAAAGGGCATAAAAGAACACAAACAGAAACCAGAAAGGAGAAAATCTATTTTTAAAAATCAATTTGAATGTCATCACCACCTGAAATGTATCACAAAAGCATGTTTCAGATGTGCATGCTTTTTCTGTTTTTGTTGTTGTTGAGACGGAGTCTCACTCTGTCACCAGGCTGGACTGCAGCGGCGCAATCTCGGCTCACTGCAACCTCCCCGTCCCAGGTTCAAGCTATTCTCCTGCCTCTGCCTCCTGAGTAGCTGGCACTACAGGCACACACTACTATGCCTGGCTAATTTTTGTATTTTTAGTGGAGACGGGGTTTCACCATGTTGGCCAGGATGGTCTCAATCTCCTGACCTCGTGATCTCCTCGCCTCGGCCTCCCAAAGTGCTGGGATTACAGGCAGGAATCACGCGCTCAGCCCCATGCTTTTTCTTAAATTGCATTGGATTCTCTAAAATCATTCTCTTGACATACAGGGTCCCTTTCTTCTCGATGACTAATTGCTCCATCCTGGCATAAATAGAGAAGCCTTTAAAATCCGCTTTTACCCCGTCTCAAGCATTGTCGCTTGACTGGGTAGAGACAGTCTGAATTAATAGGGACAAACACAATACAGACAGAGTGTCTTTACCTCACCAGGAGGAATGCCCACACAAATCCTGTCAACAGCAGGCTTCCGCTTCCTTCTATATATCTGCAACAAACAAAATGTAAACATTCGTGAGCCTCAGTGACTCACAGCTCTCCCAAGCAACTGTGGAAGGCAGGACTATAAATCACATACACCACAACATAAGACTTGTCAATAAGCCTAAGCCATAGGCATATCTGATGTGCTAAGAGCCTAGGTCTGTGTTTGTCGCAACTGGCTTCTGAATGATTCTGAAGCTCAAAATAAAAATGAACTTAAACTTTTTAACCTGTCTTTTTAGAACCATATTATTCATTAATATCTACATAATTTTTCATTTATTCAACATATATATGTGTTGCAGGTATTTTAAAAATTAAATTCTACAGAGTAGAAATTTGTAATAAAAATATTGCAAATACTATACAGATTAAAAAAAAAGTAAAATTTGGAGATGCTGGCATCTGGAGAGCTGATATAGACCCTCTTGGGCACTGGCAATATAGCAGCTTTTTGGACTATGAAACTCAAAATCAACCATTTATTCTCCCTACCTCAGTTTTGACTAGATATACAATACTAGTATGTTTTAACAACTAACACATAAACGTAAGCATATAAAACCAATATATTCAAGAACGGGAATTCATATTACAAAAGTATTCTCAGTAAGAATTCTTTAAGAAGTCTCCATGGTGTTTTTAAAATAAAACCGACAGAACCTTGGTACAGATGTACATTTTGGGAACATATGCCCTTTTATTAAGCAAGTCAGCAAACTGCAGGGTTACAGCACCTAAAGCTGAAAAAAACTGAAGGTGAGCTATTGTAACCTTTACACTCTCACCTTCGTCAACTCCTTGATTTCTAAGATGTCATTCTGGCCTCCACCATCAAGAATTCTCTGTCTTTCCCGCCTCACATCTTCATCTTCATCATTCAGAGGAGGGAGCTTTGCATTTACAGGTCTTAGGGGGGAAAAAATAAGACAAATGAACCTTTCAAACTATTTTTCAGGACAAAGATTCAGTCTCTAACGGAGTATCATAAAACCCACTCGCCACAGTTTCCAGGATGGGCAGGGAGGGGCTGCGGGATGCCCGCGCCAGGAAAATCAGTTTTATCACATATTTTGAGTTCGGTTCAATCCAACCCCCATTGGTGAGTGTTTCCCTGTGCGCTTCCCCTGTGACCCTCGGCCACGTGCTCCATGGGTTCTAAGACAAAGCTCACCTGGGCCTGATGAAGAATCTGTACTGGATCAGAACAGTAATGAGGAAGAACACCACCCCTTCCACGGCCATGGCGAAGAGGTTTCGTCCCACCAAGTCCCAAGATAATGGTGACACAAAGCGGTTCTCCCCTAGTAGACATAATGCAGAGATCCAGTCAGAATGGAGGGATCAAAAACCATGGCCCTTCCTCAAATTTGGGTCTATGTTCCTAAAAATTCACCAATCTTCCAATAAACACCAATGGCTATCACCCATGACAAAGAGGGAAAAAAAAGTAACAAGCGAATGATCACTTTCCAAGTCTGATATGGGAAAACTTTTTATGGCCCAGTAGCAATCAGAATTTCAGAGCTAATGTGTATTAGATTTGTGACTTCACCGAACATATCTAGTATTTTTTTAATGAAACATGCCAAAAATCCTTTTAAAAAGGCAAACAACCCAAGTAATTTTTACAGTATTTTTAAGAAATTCTAAGTTTTAGTAATAAGAAATATTAGCACTTTAAGCAGATGCTCCTTTCAGGAGCATATATCCTAATGATTTAATCACTAGATTCCATTAAATCTAGTTCCATGTAAATATTCCTTACATTTCTTAGATATCTCCTTTGTACCCCAAGTTGGAAAAAGCCCCTCTTCTACGACCACTAAATAATATGGCCCATTTGACTATAATTAGCTAGTGGATGAATAATAATCATATGGCTACGGGAGAAATATTTTTAACCATTCTAAACGTAGAAAAAGATGTAATACATTATCATTTTACAGACTGTGTAAAAGATAATATATGACCTCATCTGCAGACACATGATTCGCCTAATAGAGCCAAAGTTAGCATCTTTCCTTCTGATTCCCTGACCTTCTAATTCTCAAAGCTGTGGTTTGACTTTTCCAGGGCCTCTGACCAACCCAGTCAGTGGCATGAGCCAATGGATCCAAGCAAATGCCACTATTTTCCTTACCTTCAAAACTGCCCTTTCACTTTTCTCAATGCTATTGGAGACACAGACAAATGATTGTGTCACAAAACCCATGCCACAACCAGCTGTGTTGGCATGAGCCCTATCACTGGGCATGGGGGTGGGGGAACATCCTGTGCTTAGTCACCTGCTTCTTTCCAAAACAAAGTCCAGGGTACCAAGGCCTATGCAGAGTGCCATCCCCATTAAAGCATCCTACAACCACTGCTTCACTCACCAAACCTTTCCAGGGCATCAGCCATTGCCTGGTTTTTCACCATGTCAATGAGCCCTCGTCCCAGGCAAAAATGTGGGAAGATCAAGAACACAGACTTCAGGATATCATTGATATTATTCAGCTTCTAAAATAAAAAGAAAAGGGAGGGAAGGGAGGGTGAGGGAGAAGAAATGGATGTCATTCATGGTTTATCCTAAAAATGTATCAAATTCTGAAATATGGGAGTGAAGAAAAATTTGATTCTCTAGGGACAAACTGGACCTTTTAATTCAGATACCAATGAAATAGCAGCAGGCATAGTGGATGACATGTAGCAATAAAATTCTCTTCTTTAGAAAATCTGGAGAAATGGTCTGAGTGTGGAGAAATCATGAATAAAGCTTAGAAACAGCCTATATTTAATCAGAAGCAAATCCATTAAAAATCCCTTAGCATTTTAAAAGCAAATTGCTCATGTCTGGGTCAATATTTGAGTTTCAGGATTTTGTCAGAATTTTAGAAATTCTTCTCAAATACATCAGAACGTATGACCCCAAAAGAAAACAGTGGCCAAATATCTAGCAACTGAGTAAGGGGCTATATGCTGGATGCACTGTGCTAGGGCATGGGAGAGGCAAAAGTTAGTAAGAAACAGACTCCACTCCGAGTAGGAAAAGTATGTAAACAGGAAATTACCATGTAAGTGGATGTGCACTGTACTGGAGGCATGGACTGAGGACTCTGAGAGCACAGAGAAAAGAGAGAACACCTCCCAGCAGGTAAGGACAGCTTCACATTTAAGCTAAATCTTGAAGGGTAAGAGATGTACTACCGGACCCTGTGACAGAAGAAGGGCATTTCAAACCAGGCTTACAGGAGCATGGTGGTTGGGGACAACTCATCTGAAGCTTACAGCTGGGGAAAGGGTGTGGTGGGTACGGACAGGAAGAGTTGTGCATCTGTAAAAGGCCTTGTGTGCTGTGTTTGGACAAAGGCAATGCCAACCGGAATGGAGAGGAAGCCTTATTTTACAGGTCCATACCTGGAAGAACTGACAACACAACCAGTCGAATGTGGGAAATCTGCAACAGCAAAGCAAGCATCTAGGATAACTCTAAGAGCCAGCTTGGGCAACCGAGTGGATGGTAGTGCCCTGAGTGTGACAGGGATGGTAAGAAAAGCATTATGTTCCAGGGGCGAAGAAAACTAGGACCTGTCCAGTTTGGAGTATCTATATACTATCTAAATGGAGCAATCCACTAGGCAAGTGAGAATGTGAGATTAGAGTTCAAGGTTATGAACAAGGCTAAAGGCATAGATCTTAGAGATGACAATAAAAACACCAAGAAGGGTGATGGTAAAAGTCTTGGGATTGAATGGCGTCGCCCAGATCTCATGTGCAAAGTGGAAGGCAGAGGAGCTACTCTTGGTAAAAGCAACACTCAAAAATGAAAGAAAAAAAAAACTGTCAAAAGAAACTGAAAGGCTTGACCAGCAAAATGTACGGCACAGCAAGAAAGAAAGGTGCTTTGCCTTCTCAGGGAAGACAGACTCTGAAGAAAGGACAAGGCAGTCAGCAGCGTCCATGCCACTGACAAGTAGAATAAGATCACAATTAAACACTGTCCTCTGGCTCCCAGAGATGCTCATCCCAGCAGGAGTGTTCTCTCTGCATGACTCACATTGTCGGTGAAGAGCTCCAACACAAAGGTGGCCACGCTGCCATTGATGCCGATGAAGAGGTTCACGCTGGTGAGCACCACATAGGCTGTGCTGGGGATCTTGAACACGAAGGAGGCTGGGTACATGAGAGGTGTGATTGACCACCTGGTGAGACACAAAAAGGTAAGTGTCTACTGAGTCCCCTGTTCTCCTTCTGACACTGGGCACCAAATGCCTTATCCACTGTGCAGTTCCCTCACTCAGAGGTGACTTACCCATACAGCAAAAGTAGAAGGGCTAGCACAGGCAGGTTGGTGGAGGACACATAGGACTTCTGCTGGAAGCAGATGAAGATGATAATGACCAGTGTGGCAGGGACAACGTAATTGCACTAAAAGTGAAAACAAAGACATACAGTTTACCCCTAAATCAAATACACAATGCATCACACAAGTCTTCACCATCATTAGACAAGAAAGGGCAGATAAACATATTGGAAAGTAACTCTGAATTAATGAAGCCACATAAACTATTAATCAAAATACCGGACAATACACTTTGACAAGCATTTTCCCCTTGGCTGATTTTATAAACTACATGCCCTTTCTGTCTTTCCAACAGCCAAGCCAAGGTGTCACGCTCAGTAAACTGAACGATGGATTCCCAGTCAGAGTAATTTCAATTTCACAGGCAGCAAATAAGCTTCCATTCTTCTTCCCGAAGATGATTGTGTCTGTTTCATCATTAATGCTATATTACAGTCTGCCCAAGTTCAATCTCACATGTAATCTATTTATGAGGTAACTGCTCATAACATGAATGTCAGAATTGTTTCATCGCACTGAGAATAATTTTAAAGTCTGTCCTGACAGTGTATCAAGCAGTAAAATGCAAAAATAAAGACTTGACGATAGGACAATTATGAGAATTCATAGCTGGCAGAGCAAAGCACAGGCAGGGAAGTGATAGTGAGCTTGTTAGCTGCTAGAAGAACTGCAGCTTCTGACTACAGGACTCTGCCTCAGTCCTGTGCTACTTGATGTGTTTATCAACAACTTAGATGAAGACACGCTTCTAGCAAATTTTAGGAGCTACAGATAATACCCAGGAAGATAAGAGATGGGTTCAGGGACTTGACCTTTCATCTCTGAATCACCTATGCCTGGCATAAGTCAGACACATAGCATTCAGTCTGTGTTTACTGACTGGAGTAATTACTGAATCAAGCTAAAACAAAAATAAAACACATGTAATTTAATATGGATAAATATAAAGTTTAGGTTCAAAAAAAATGAATTTGTATAGAATGAAGGAGACCCGAATTTCACAATCATTGGTGTGAAATGGAGGTTTTTGGTTTACCACTAAGTTGCCAGTAAGACAGTGCTCCTTCCAAAATGCAAAGTCTTTGTGCTGTAGGAATAGAAGTGTGGGCTAAAGATTAACTCCCTCTAGACTCATAACCATTCAGACCACAGCCTGAACACGAGGTTAATTCTTGGCTTTGCTTTTGAAACGGGACATTAACAATAGAGAGCATGGCCATACAAGGACAATCGGATCAGAAGAGTGACAAAGTCTAAGAGCCTTGGTATGAACAGCAAAGACCTCATCATCATCTCCACCATCACTGCTCACATTTGTACAGTGCTTTGGAGGTTACAAGATATATTCTCATATATCATCTTATCTGGGGAATACTCAGGTTAAATGAGAGTATGAGAGTTGTTTTTAAATATTCAGGGACTTGTTCAGTGGGAGAAGAATTACATTTGCTCTGTGTAGCTTATAGTTAATGGAAGTTACAGGAAGATATATTTCAACTGTACTTTACAATAATTAGAACTTTAGAATTCCTTCAAGTCCCCCATATTGGTCAACATAGAAGCAATATATTGTAGCTGGCACAAAAACATGTTTGCAATGGATGGATAAGCTGCTGATAAAATGTACAGAGTTTTCAAATGACAGATGGCTTTCCTAGTAAGGCAAAGAACATTCTGACTCTGGAGGTTAAAACCCATCAGAAAAATTAGAGGCATTGACTTGGAGTTTTGACTTGCATCTCTCTGATTCTTGCAGCAGTGGTATTAATTTTCATCATTGTGTACAGATTTTTCCCTCTGGTGTGACATGAACTCTGGTACCCAATGCTGTGTTTGGTGTCATGAAAGTGATCACCTGCCTCTGGCTTTTCCTTTTTCATATATCTTTAGAGTAGCTGGAACATTTCCTGATGATAGCCAGGGCTCTTTCCTTCTTATCCCTATCAATCTATGGCCCTGACAGACATTACAAAGATACAGCAGGCCTGTGTCCTTACCATATCCCAGACAAAATTAGAGAGCCAGTAGATGACAGGCTTCACGCCACTGATGAACTGCAGGTGTTTTGCTTTGCTGACCCGCTCCTGGATCAGGAATACGACAAAGCTGGCTGGGACGAAGGACATCGCAAAGATGACGCAGATGGACACAAGGACATCCACTGATGTGGTCATCCTGGAAAGAAAAAGGGTGTGAAAATCGGAGGGGTCTTTGATGCAACTGGGGCTCAATCGGCGAGGACACGGACACACGGACACACAGACACACACAGATATCTGAGGCACAGCCCAAGGAAAAACATCTGTTCACCAGACACATTTTATTCAGGGTTAAGATGATTATTTTTAAGTCAAAAAATATGACAATGTAAATGCCAAACTGATACTACTGAGGTCAAATTGTGATACCACTGCCACAATAAAACTAATGAAGGAAGTCAGAGTGGTTAATGGTATTCACTTTGGTCCACTGTTCGTGACCTTGTAAAAGTAGTAAGTTGTAAATTTTCACACACAAAGGACTAGTGGGGCTTGAAAACTAAATGAGAGCAGAAATATTACTGTGCAACTACTCAAATAAATTAATTTTTTCTGGCTGTAAATCAACTTGAAAATAACAGTATGTAGCCTATTGATTTAACACATACAAAAATTTTATCAGATTCGTATAAGAAGAATGGTTTTATAAGCCCATTACACGGGGTCTTGGTATAAAGATCCTAGTGTCCTATATTAGTATCCTGTAGGAGTTAAGCAGAAACAGGAACTGCCATGCTCCATGTACAGGAAAGGCATCTAATGTGTGCTAAATATCAACTCTGTGCTGAGTGCTGGGCTTGGCAATTTACATGAATTGCCTCAGTTAATATCATACATCTATAAAGTTTAGAGACCAGATTCAAACCCAGATCTGTATGACTCCAATGCCTGCATACTTTAAACTAGCTCATCCTGGCTTTAAACTTCTCTCTCTCTTTCTCTCTCTCTCTCTCTCTCTCACATACACACACACACACAGCTTAACTTAGGCATTAAAGATACAAGCTAATAAAAACATATTCCACCAAGTTTTAAACAGTGATTTTTAAACAAATCAAACTGATTAAACACTTATAATTAAATTATAATTAACAATTTTTGAACTCACTTTATATGAATTCACTAAATGTTACGATTTTTACATATCAGTATCATTTTCTCTTCTGCAGTTCAAGAAGCCCAACCAGCCAATTCGTAAACTTATCACTTCTGCCCAGAGCCTGGATCAACCCAGATTTATCATAATGTAATGGTCTCTGCAGCTGTTCCCCTACGATGAGCTTCATATTTTTCTGCCCTCCTCCATGACCCTCTCCTTGCCCCACTCCATCCATTCAGACACAGCTACACTTACAGAGCCACCTCTGAGAGCTGCTGTTTGGTGAGATTCAGGGGATGATTGAAAGCAGTAATTCCATAATGGCTAGGGTTCTCTCCCTTTTGCAGGTTGGCCCGGAGAATGGCATTGTTGATGACATTCAGGAAAGAGCTGATTGCATGCCAGCCCTTGTTATTGAACCACACCTGGAAGAAAACATACCAGGTACAAGGTAATGCCCCCAAACCCTGCTCCTGCAGGCAGGTGCACACACACCAACCATGCACATAAACCTCAGAAAGAAATTCTAGTCACGTACCAAAGCAAAACACTATGATCAGAGAACATGGAGAAGTAATTATAGTGTACAGGACACAGTGATCACTGACTATGTGGGTAGATACTGTGGGGAGGACCTTATACCTTTAACTCATTGAATTCTCACAACAGTTTAGAGATAGCCATGATTATTGTCTCCATTTCACAAATGAGGGAACTGAGGCTTAGATAGGTTAAGTAACTTAGTCAAGGTTACCTGGTATGTCTGGTGGCAAAGCAAATTCTCTGAATCACTACACTTTACCGTACTGCCTCGCTGGTAAAGCTAACAGTTTGCTCTTTTCTGTTGTGAATGCCCCTACCAACTTTACCGTGAGTTCAAAGTGCTCCAGGAAACATAAGGATCATCATTCATCAAAAAGCTACTAGAACAAAGACCGTGGTTTACCTTGACATTATTTTTGGTGTCCAGTCCTGTCATAAACCTTCCCAAGCTGTTGAGAAATCGATCTGCAGAACTGTCCTGTAAACAACAGAAACCTGCCTCAGTTGTGACTGTTCACATAGATAAGGGGCAACAGTCAACCTGGAACCTGTGGACAACAGGACGGCCCTGTGAAGCTCAATGCCACTACTACCTTGTTCACTGAAATTAAATGTGAAGCCATTAAATCAACAGCTCCTGAGAACCAAGTGACCAGAAATCTCTACAACAGTGATGCTGCCACGATGCCACCAGTCTAGAAGGAATCACAGAGAAATCCGGGGATGCAAAGCCCCAAGATTTTAATGTCTGGTTATCACGGTGGGGTGAGGACTCCTCCAAGTGCTCCACCGGCATCATCTGAAGAGCCAGAACCATGCTCCGCCTGCAGATGTGCCAGATACATGGGTCCATCACTCAAAAGCAGAGCTGTGGATTCTAGGACTATCACTGCTGTCCACAATCCTAGGGTCCATTTTATCAGAGCCCCTTAATTCTCACTTAAAAATGGGAAACTTGAGACAGAGAGAAATGAAGTGAGTACTTATCAGGTCCTGCAGACCAGCCTGCCAGCTTCAAAAAGAAAATGATTCATTTCCTATTTAGTCAGTGATTGTTTCAGCAAAGTAGGTTGGAAACCCAGTTTATTTACCAACTGGCCAAATTTGTAAAACTGGTTGTTCTGAGAGCTTTTTTTGAGACGGAGTCTTGCCCTGTCGCTCAGGCTGGAGCACAGTGGCACAATCTCGGCTCACTGCAACCTTCACCTCCCGGGTTCAAGCAATTCTCCCACCTCAGCCTTCCGAGTAGCTGGGATTATAGTCGCACGCCACCATGCCCAGCTAATTTTTGTATGTTTTTTAGTAGAGACAGGGTTTCACCATGTTGGCCAGGCTGGTCTCAAACTCCTGACCTGTGATCCGCTCACCTCGGCCTCCCAAAGTGCTGGAATTACAGGCATACGCCACCACACCTGGCCGCTGAGAGCTTTTAAATCTCTGAATTTTTAAAAAATATTTTTTGAGACGGAGTTTTGCTCTTGTTGCCCAGGCTAGAGTGCAATGCTGCGATCTCAGCTCACTGCAATCTCTGCCTACAGGGTTCAAGCGATTCTCCTGCCTCAGCCTCCCAAGTAGCTGGGATTACAGGTGTATGCCACTAATAGCCCAGCTTTTTTTTTTTTTTTTTTTTTTT